CTTAAACTTGAAATTCACCTTCAATTCACCTTGAATACTCTCGTTAGTGAATAACCTTGTTTGTGATATAAATAGTGATGCAAAACTGTTGCCACGCAGGAGCAGTGTAGCTGTCCAAACAGCTGTTGAAGGTACCTATCAATGAAAAATGAGCCTAAAGATGGATAGAACAGAATTTTCTATCCCGGCTGCAATATCAGTTTTATTTGGAAATTGTACTCAGTGAACACTTTAATAGGTATTCTTATTCTGCTGTGAGTAAGAATTTAGTGATATATGTGGGCAGGCAAGAGAGCATGCTGCATAGAGGGTCAAATCTGTCGATGTAAGGGCCTGTCCATAAAGTGGATGTTTGGGCATATAGATAGCCCCCTAGAGGCACTAAAAATGCTCTGTACGGGGTCATAGTACCCTGTCACCTCCTACATTATCTGGCAGTGGTAGATTGAACTACTAGACAAATTTGAGAATACAGGGACTCAATTTTGCAGAGACAATACCCTAAAATGTGGGATTGTATCAACAAAATCGGGTCTGTTGGCAAGTATTATTTAATAGGTTAAATGATAATCAATTGCATCTATTGCTTTATATGCGCCAAGACAACATTAACGCATCGGCACTATCCTGTACAGTTGAAACTATTCAGGAGGTTTTGGACTCAATCAGTTTATACTCCAACACTCTGTCTCCCCCATCCTCCGTCACTGCTCCCTAAAACAGTAGCTTGTGAGACTTTTTGGTAGTGCCAACCCTACCCCTTCACCCCAATACCGATTCCCTACTGGGATTTTCTCTAAAACAAGTTGTTGAGGAGCCAACTCGTAAAGAGGCCATACTAGATTTAGTGTTAACAAATGGAGATTTGGTATCAGATGTTACTGTAGGTGAAAGTTTAGGATCCAGTGATCATCAGTCAGTGTGGCTTAATATAAGAACAGTGACTGAGTCACACCACACAAAAACAAAAGTTTTAGACTTTAGAAAAGCAGACTTTTCTAAAATTAGAATATGGGTAGAGGAGTCATTATCAGACTGGAGCAATTTAAATGGAGTCCAAGAGAAATGGGATTATTTAAAAGTTGCACTATTGAAGGCAACAGAAAATTGCATTAGGCTTGTCAGTATAAGCAAAAAATTCAAGAAACCACTGTGGTACTCCACAGATGTGGCCAAAATAGTTAAAAACAAAAAGTTAGCATTTAGGAATTATAAAAAAACCCAGAGTGAGGAAGACAAAATGATCTATAAGATTAGGCAGAAAGAGGCTAAGCAAGTTATAAGAGCTTCCAAATCACACACAGAAGAGAAAATAGCACAGTCAGTAAAAAAGGGGTATAACATTTTTTTTAGATACATAAATGAGAAAAGAAAAGTAAAACAAGGATTAGTTAGATTAAAAACAAAAGACGGAAGGTATGTAGAAGAGGCTAAAGGTCTAGCTGACTGCCTCAATGAATATTTTTGTTCTGTATTTACAGATGAAAATGAAGGAAAGGGACCTCAGTTGAGAAAAAGGATAAATGAGTCATTTATTACACGTGAGTTTACAGAGGAAGAGGTTCTATTTCAACTGTCAAAAGTAAAGACAAATAAGTCAATGGGACCTGATGGAATACACTAGCAAAACCATTAACAGATTTATTTAACCAATCATTGTTAACAGGAGTAGTCCCAGAAGATTGGAAGTTAGCGAATGTTGTGCCCATTTACAAAAAGGTAATAGGGAGGAGTCGGGCAACTATAGGCCAGTAAGCCTTACTTCAGTAGTGGGGAAAGTGATGGAAACCATGTTAAAGGATAGGATTGATAAACACCTAAAAACACATGGATTTCAAGATCAGAGACAACATGGGTTTACTTCAGTGAGATCATGCCAAACTAATCTTAATGATTTTTTTGATTGGGTAACTAAAATTATAGATCAGGGTGGTGCAGTAGACATTGCTTACCTAGATTTCAGTAAGGCATTTGACACTGTTGCACATAGAAGGCTTATCAATAAACTGCAATCTTTAAGTTTGGATTCCAATATTGTTGAATGGGTAAGGCAGTGGCTGAGTGACAGGCAACAGAGGGTTGTTGTTAATGGAGTATATTCGAAGCTTGGACTTGTCACCAGTGGGGTACCTCAGGGATCTGTACTTGGATCCATTCTCTTTAATATTTTTATTAGTGATATTGCAGAAGATCTTGATGGTAAGGTATGTCTTTTTGCTGATGATACTAAGATATGTAACAGGGTTGATGTTCCAGGAGGGATAAGCCAAATGACAAATGGTTTAGGTAAACTAGAAAAATGGTCAGAATTGTGGCAACTGACATTTAATGTGGATAAGTGCAAGATAATGCATCTTGGACGTAAAAACCCAAGGGCAGAGTACAGAATATTTGATAGAGCCTAACCTCAACATATGAGGAAAGGGATTTAGGGGTGATTATTTCTGATGACTTAAAGGTAGTCAAACAATGTAATAGAGCAGCAGGAAATGCTAGTAGAATGCTTGGTTGTATAGGGAGAGGTATTAGCAGTAGAAAGAGGGAAGTACTAATGCCATTGTACAGAACACTGGTAAGACCTCACTTGGAGTATTGTACACAGTACTGGAGACCGTATCTTCAGAAGGATATTGATACCTTAGAGAGGGTTCAGAGAAGGGCTACTAAACTGGTTCATGGATTGTGGGATAAAACTTACCAGGAAAGGTTAAAGGATCTTAACATGTATAGCTTGGAGGAAAGACGAGACAGGGGGGATATGATTGAAACATTTAAATATATAAAGGGAATCAACACAGTAAAGGAGGAGACTATATTTAAAAGAAGAAAAACTACCACAACAAGAGGACATAGTCTTAAATTAGAGGGACAAAGGTTTAAAAATAATATCAGGAAGTATTACTTTACTGAGAGGGTAGTGGATGCATGGAATAGCCTTCCAGCTGAAGTGGTAGAGGATAACACAGTAAAGTAGTTTAAGCATGCATGGGATAAGCATAAGGCTATCCTAACTATAAGATAAGGCTAGGGACTAATGAAAGTATTTAGAAAATTGGGCAGACTAGATGGGCCGAATGGTTCTTATCTGCCGTCACATTCTACGTTTCTATGTTTGTGAAATATTGCAACATAACTGATAAGGCCGCATACAGGATACCATCTAATCATTTATATCCCACAATATTTCTTTAAAAAAAGCAAATGCAATTATGCAAATAATGAAAGTGCTCTGTCGATGAGGACACTTTATGTTGAGAATTGTAATGCATCTTTGCATGTGAAACATTATGAAAAATAGGCTTAATAATCTGTTTGCAATGTTACATAGCATTCACTTCAAATAAAGAAAAAAAAATATTGCATAAAAGTAAACTTTTCCATGTATCAGAACAATATTTGCTGGGATCAAACAGGGCTTGACTACTGGAAGTATCTGTACGTAGCATAAAGTAAATAGGACACACGGTATTATCTTGCCTCATCAGTAACCATTGTGTTATATTGTATTGTTTACTTAAAACATGTGGGAGGGGCCAGGGAAGCAGCTTTGAACCAGAAATCCCTGTCTGTGGGAGACGTCAGAACACAGACGGGGACAAGCATTCAGTCTGAGCGCACACTGTAACCATGGTAACAATGTATATATTGTGAGGAAACTCCCTCTGCATACGCACCCTCTAGCTAGTGCGTCAGGAAGTTAAATTGTTTTGTAATCTATTAAAAGAAAAGCGTGCATTATGGAGCTATATTTACGCTCAGTTTATTGTTAGCCAGGTATAATTAGTAAAAATATTTTGTGAATATTTATGAAACACTGCGTTGTATAACAAGGGCGATTGCAGTTTACTAGAGAGGCTACCCTGAAGAAGATGCATATTCTATAATTGATCCTGGCCTATATATTAAACACCCCCAAGATGCAGGACAGGAAATACAATAGAGTAACCCTAAAAGTATAGTAAACATTAACATGTATAAAATACGTTTTAAATTGAAATATTATAGGTGGATGTATGTACCAACATCTAAAAATACATTAAAAATATGAAAACATGCTTTATATAAGTATATCAAATAATATGCAATGTGATGGGGTTGAACACCAAACTGTACTGAATTGACAATCCATTTGCAAAGTTGGGTTAAAATAACTGAGCTACAGGTGAGTTAAAGATTTTGTTTTCCAAATTGACCAAATATTCCAAATTCTGTCTACTGTTTGAAATTCAGCTTCTCTAAAATGATAATAAAAAAACACAGAGATCTGAAGGTATCCCATAATCTGTGATGATGAGATACTAATATTTAATTATGCCATGTATTAAGGGGTGGGCTGGTACAGGTCCCCCCCTCCCCCCGCTCCTCCCCCACTCCGCAACCCCCCTCCAATGTAAGGAAATAGCAGTAGTGAATCACTGTCATTGTGTGTATCTGTGTATATATGTGTGTGTGTCGCAGGATTCAAACGTCAACACTACAACAAACACACCTCTGTATTAAAACATCAGAATTATATATAAACAGGCCCAGACTGGCCATCGGGCATACCGGGCAAATGCCTGGTGGGCCGCGATGGCCGTGGTCGGCAGGGGAGATCACAGGATCTCCCCTGTCGGCCCATGCAGAGCCAGCTCTATCCGAGCGCTGGCCCTGCTGTGTACCTCCATGGGCCAGTGGAGGTACACTGGCCCAAAGGCAGTTACAAGCAGCCGTCGGCTGGGGAGTGAGGGAGGCAGGAGAGGACCCGGGGAGCTTTTGCCCGCAGCTCCACTGGGTTCCTCTCATGGGATTCTGTTTTGTAATATTTTTCCTTCAATCAATAAATGTTTTGTAGTATGCATTCTATCAGTATCACACACACACACAGATCAAACTTCACACTATGACTGCACTTGGAAGTCCAGCATATTGCATTACCACAGCAACGCTCAGATCTCGCGTCAACTCTTGCCCTACATAGCACCCTCATACACACACAGCACCCTCATACACACAGCATCCTCATACACACACAGTACCCTCAGACACACATAGCAGCCTCAGACACACAGCACCCTCATACACACACAGTACCCTCAGACACACATAGCAGCCTGAGGGTGCTGAGTGGGTCTGAGGGTGCTGTGTGTCTGAGGGTGCTATGTGTGTCTGAGGGTACTGTGTGTATATGAGGGTGCTGTGTATATGAGGGTGCTGTGTGTGTATGAGGGTGCTGTGTGTCTGAGGGTGCTATGTATGTATGAGGGTGCTGTGTGTGTATGAGGGTGCTGTGTGTGTATGAGGGTGCTCTGTGTGTATGAGGGTGCTGTGTGTATGAAGGTGCTGTTTGTGTATGAGTGTGCTGTGTGAGTGAGGGTGGTGTGTGAGTAAGGGGGGTGTGTTTGAGGGTTCTGTGTGTATGAGGGTGCTGTGTGTGTATGAGGGTGCTGTGTGAGTGAGGGTGGTGTGTGTATGAGGGTGTTGTGTGTATGAGGGTGCTGTGTGAGTATGTGTGTGTGTGTGTGTGTATAAAGGGGTGCTAGGAGTATCTGAGTGTACTGTGAGTGAATGTCTATTTAATTGCGTGTCACTCTTGCCAAGGTTGGGGGGGGGGGACGACAAAAATTCTTGCACCAGGGTCCTCTCTGCGTAAGCTCCTCCAATGAGTCTGAGGATTGTAAAGACATAATTACATAAAGAACTGCTGGTCTGGGAAGCCTCATTTTGGCTCCATTGCAAATTGAGAAATGTCTGCCTATGGCACAGGTGTGTCAAGCTAAAAAGATTTTATCATTATTTTCCAAGTGTTTTGGAAACCAAGAGCAGACGAGCATATACCCAAATTCTCACCCAGGCTGGAGATCCATTGTGGCTAGTTTCATGTTCCTAGGAAGGTCTGCATCCTGTGCACGGCTCTCATCATTTGGGTACTTGTATAGCTAGAGTCTGTGCCAGAATGCATACAACACTGTCTGATATGCCTGTATAAGGTTTTTATTTTTAATATAATTCTTTTATTCATTTTTACATAAATATACACAAAGACAATCTAAAATACAAACAATACAAAAAAAAACAAAAAAAAGTAACGAAAACTAAATACCGCTCTTCAAATGTAGTTACATTTATGATTTATACAAGTCTAAAATATCAACCGTCTGCAGATACCGAGGGGGAGGGTAAGGGGTTTATGCCCTCGCTCAGGAGTTACTGTCTCATAATAAGCAATGATGTTTCATTTAGCCCTTCTCACCACAGCACGTACCTTTTCAGATTGTTTAAAAAGGAGATACTTATATCTCTTTCCATTTTAATCTGGGTCAATATCTGTTCTTTAATTAATTCCCAAATCAATATTTTATTATTTTTCCAGTTCCAATCAAACCCGTTATTCCTGGCACTGTAGGTTCCTGGAGTGCCCCCTCCCTCAAACTTACCTGAATCCAGCGCCGATGTCCACGCTCCTCCCCCACTGATCTCAACAGGCAGGGGAGACCTAATGCGCATGCGCAGCAATGGCCACACACTCATTAAACCTCCCCATAGGAAAGCATTATTCCATACTTTCCTATGGGGAAAATCTGATGCTGGAGGTCCATGAGGACGTCCAGCGTCAGATAACGGACCAAAAGTCAGTTTCCATTCTGGAAGCGCCCCCGGTGGCTTTCTGTTAGACAGCCACAGAGGGCAGACTTAGAGCTGCAATGTTCTCTGGAACTGCAGTGTTTAACATTGCAGCACTAAGTGCAAAAGGGTCACAGCACCCAGACTACTTCAATGAGCTGAAGTGGTCTAGGAGCCTACAGTGTCCCTTTAACTACTATAAAGAGGCACAAACTTGAAATGACATTTACCTCTGTAGAATAATGCATATTCTTTGTTTCTATTGATTATTTATGGATGTCTGGATTGACATAAGTAACAGATAATATAAGTTAGGGATCGGCCGATATTGATTTTTTAGAGCCGATACCGATAATCTGTGAACTTTCAGGCCGATAGCCGATATCTTGCCGATATTCTGTACATTTACTATTTTGAAAAAATAAACTATTTCTAAAGGTAAATGCACAAAATATACATGCCACATGTAGTGGATGAAGTGTGTTTAGACAGAGGAGCTGTGTGTGTTTGTGTAGTGTGTGTGTGTAGTGGGTGCAGAGTGTGTGTTTGTGTGGTGTGTATATATAATGAATGCAGAGTGTGTGTGTAGTGTGTATAGTGAATGCAGTGTGTGTTTGTGTAGTGTGTATATAATGCAGTGTGCGTGTAGTGTGTATATAATGCAGTGTGTATATAATGCAGTGTGTGTGTTTGTGTAGTGTGTGTATATAATGCAGTGTGTGTGTTTGTGTAGTGTGTGTGTGTAGTGTGTGTATGTAATGCAGTGTGTGTGTGTATGTAATGCAGTGTGTGTGTTTGTGTGTGTGTGTTTGTGTGTGTGTGTATGTAATGCAGTGTGTGTGTGTGTGTTTGTGTAGTGTGTGTATGTAATGCAGTGTGTTGTGTGTATGTAATGCTGTGTGTGTGTGTGTTTGTGTAGTGATGTAATTTGTGTAAAATGGGGGGGGGCATTTTTTTATTTAAATTTTTTTTAAATATTTAAATGTTTTTTTTTTGTTTAGTCCCTCCTCCCTGCTTCTTACCAGGGAGGGGGGATATAGTATTCCCTGGTGGTCCAGTGGCTTGTTAAGTACAGTGGTGGCTCAGCAGCAGCAAGCGCTGACTTACCTTGCAAGCAGCTCCTCCAGCTCCCTGTGTAAATCTCGCGGCTCTTAGTGCCGCGCAGAGCGTTGCCATGGTAACCCGTGGCCGCGGGTCTCGCGGGATTTACACAGGGAGCTGCAGGAGCTGCTTACAAGGTAAGTCAGCGCTTGCTGCTGGCCCCCCACAGAACCGCCGGGCTTGTAATGGGCCCGGCGGTCATGTTATATATTATCAGCAATATCGGTATCTGAATTGGCCAATAGTGATATTGCCGAAAATACCAAATATCGGCCGATAATATCGGCCAGACCGATAATCGGTCGATCCCTAGTATAAGTATAAGTCACAAGGTTTTCTTGTATGAGAACTCTGGAATGTGGATTGGGGGTTTTGTCCTTATATGGCTAGAGTTATACTCTGACGTCAGTATGGGCACATCTATATAGTAAGTGAACAAAGGGACACAGGGTCTCTCTCTGTCTCTCTCTTGATACAACGATGTAACTCTCCCTTCAGAAGTCCAGCAATTACCAGCTGCTGTTGAGCATCCAAGATCATGTAACATCCTTTGTTGTTTTATTATGTATCAGTAACTAAAAATAAACCTGAAGAAAGCCTATTAGTACTTTTCATTAATATAGACGTATATTAATGTGGCGAGAGTTTGACCCAAGACTATAGATACAAAGACGTATATATCAATAAACCAGAAAAAGAAAAGAAAGACGAAACAAGAATTTATTACACTCTCCCTCACCAAATGATAAGTAGAAAGGGCAACTACATACAGCACAACCACCACATGTGTCAGTATTGGCACCTCTTGCAGACAGATTCCTACTCCTTACCCAGCTTTCTGCCTAACATACCCTTGTTATTGGTTAGACAAACCTAGATTTTGTCTCAAATGGGGTTATGTTTGGAAATGTTTCCAAAAAACTATCTGAACAGACATGAACACACATGTAACGATGTAAAACACCCCAAAACCTATTTTAGTTTCTCTATAAATTGAATTACCACCTTAGGTAATGAGATTCATGCCAGCTCATGCCGTGGCTGCTGACTTAATAACTGCTGGTTAAAATTAACATTTGTGTGGCCATATATAGCAATGCATGTGTCAGATCGCTGTTGCCAAGATCATAATTGTGACGCAAGCATTTATGCTAAAGTAAATAAATCTGATATTTCTAGGATGTGTTTTATAGGAAAGTCATTTCATGTTAATGGTTAGAGTTATGTTTAATTAAGGTTGGTTGGAGGATGTAGGAGTTCCCAATGTCCTAGTTTATAGAGTGAAAGTGTATCCGTCAGTTTTACTGGGAATATTAGATTAATAATCTAGGTGTTCCTTAAATGCAAATAGACAGAATGACAATGCAAATATGCTTTAAAGGACTGATATGCTTATCAAAATGTCTGGCCCAATTAAAAAAAAACAACAAACGCTGGATCCTATTGACAGTTTCCCTATTTTTATTGAATAGCAACTCACCTTAACCCCTTAAGGACACAACTTCTGGAATAACATGGAATTATGACGGAATATTTCCATCATGTGTCCTTAAGGGGTTAAAGGAACACTATAATACCAGGAATACAAACATGTATTCCCGACTCTATAGTGTTTAACTATTTAGGTGACCGGTCCCCCCTTGATTGTATTGTAAAGGTGATTTTACTCAAGTTTTCTACCAAGCCATGCCGGTCTTGCTGCAGGTGTATTAGCTATGAATTTTGGTGATGTCAGCCATTCAGTTCTTTCCAATAGGAAAGCATTGGAAGGCTATTGCGCATGCACGGCAAAATGCCAGGCTGCAGCAATCAGCATTTCATCATGGAGATGCTTCTCCTAGGGTGAACATTCCGCTGCTTCATGCAGAGCGTGGAGACATGTGGTGGGAATGCCCGATCACAAAAGTTTATTGGCAACAAATTGCGCAGTTGCTGCGAAAACATTTGAGAGGGAGATTAAGCTAGACCCATGGGTATTTTTGTTAGCTAGATCTATAGAAAACTGGATGAAATCAGAACTGACCCTATTACATAAGGTGAACCTAGCCGCTAGGAGAGCTTTGGCACAGGTATGGTTGCGAAGAGAGGCCCCAGAAATCGCTGTGGTGATTCAGAAAATTAAAGATAATTATTTGATGGATGACCTAACAGCCCGGGTTCGGGGTACAATGAAAAAGTTTGAAAAAGTTTGGGGCCCTTGGGTAGCTAGCGCAGCAAGTGCGTGATGTACACACGAGCGAGACTCCCTTGGGCAGGCTTGGATGGAGTGGATGTAAGTTAGACTGGATTCCTCTGCGCTCCCCCTCCACTTACTTCTCCCTTTCCCTGTACTATCTCTTTCTATCTTCACACGTACCCCTCTTATATCTTTACTTGTCTCTTACTTTTGTCTGAGAGAATTATATACAACTGACCTAACATTGCCTTACAATGTGTAAACAACTGGCACTGCTAAAGGATGTGGTCA